GGGCGGGGGGGGGGGGGTCTCAGGGGTGCAAGAGTGGGGAGTTGGGGAAATTCCAGCCCTGAGCCCGGCAGGATGGATCCCTGCCGGCCGTGCCGTGCGTGGGAGGAGGCGGGAGGGCTGGGGGTGAGCAGGGAGGCCAGAGGAGGGGCCCCCCGCTCTCCTCCTCCCGTGACTGAGGAGTGTGGTGGGCTCAGCTGGGGCTGTCCCCTCCTGCCACCGCGCAGCCGTCCCCAGGGTCAGGCAGCTGCGCCGGAGCCTCTTCACCCGGCCGAGCATCCTCCTGCCGTGCGGATGAGGACGGAGAGAGGGAGCTGGGGGCTGCCGGCATCCGCCTCGCTGCCTCACGGCTGGGCGAGAGCTACCCCGGCACAATAGGCAGAGCCTCCGTGGGGGGTGGCAGAGCCCCCGTGGGGACCCACGGAGCCCCCGTGGGGACCAGACCCGCTCCCTGTCCACCATGGTGGTTTTCATGGGCAGGAACCTCTCCTCGCTTCTGGCTTTCTTCAAGAAGAAGGGTGAGTGATGGGGAGGGGGGGAAGGGAGCGGCTCCTTGTCCTTACACAACCCCTGCCCGCCAGGACCCCCGCCTGCCCCCACATCGGGTGCTCGCCCACCCGCAGCAAGCAATGGGGGGGGCAGCTGCCACCCCAGGGGGAGGGCAGGGAAGGTCACTCGGGCCCCAGCCTCATCCGCTGGGAAGTTACGGGGATAAATCACTGCGGTCCTCTCGCCGGAAGGCGGCTCTGAGTGAGCCGGGGGGGCAGAGGGGGTGTCAGGCGAGGGGCTGCCAAAACTGTGGGAGAAAAGGGCTTAGGGGAAGGGGGAGACAATGGTAGAGGGGGGGCTGTGGGTGTTTTGTGTCCCCTACAGGGACCCTGCACCAGCACAGGGGTCCCCTGTGCCACGACCTGTCCCCCCGCCCCATCCTGGCCGTGCCCCGGTGCCCGCTGGCCGTGCCGTGGAGGCAGAGGCCGGTGTGGCGGCATGGCGTGGTGGCATGGCGCGGCAGGGCGGGCCGGCTCCATTGTTCAGGGCCTGCTCCTTTGTGCGGCGGAGCTGGAGCGCGGCCGCCTCGCTGCCCGGCCGGGCTGGCCGGGAGGGGACAGGGGACACGGGGGTCAAGAGGATGAGTGCGTGGCGCCGGCGATGCCGGGCAGTGGGTACTTGTGTCCCCCGGGGTGCTGCCGCCAGCCCCACCGGTTTCCTGGTCTCGCCCTTCCCTTCCTCAGCCTCAAGTTGTTTTTTTCCGGGCAGGAAGAGTTTGAGGCTTCGCGGCAGGCAGCGGTGCGCAGGCAGGAGCAGGCAGGGCTGCGCCGGTGGTGCCCTGGGTGGGGGATGCCAGGCACAGCTCCCAGCAGGTGACCGGAGCTGGTGGTGGGCACCCCAGGGTGCTGGTGATGGTTTGTGGGGAGGGGGCTGTGAGATGGGGTGTGGAGAGTCCTATGCCAGCCCTGGCATGGCACCTGGGGGGCTTGAAGCGAGGGGGGATGTGGGTCAGCTGGGGTCTCTGTGCCTCAGTTTCCCTCGTCTGTGCAGTTCCCAGCCTGGCTGGGCACGGGATGAGTCCCTGCTCTCGGGGTGCTTTGCAAGGGCTGGGGATGATGCAACCCTCCAAAGGGAAAGTCACCGTCTTTCCATCCTCGTTTCATACCCCCGTGCTGCCCCTTCTCCGCTCAGCTGCCCACAGCCCTGCACAACCCGCTGCCTCGTTTGCTCCTAACGAAGGTGCTGGGGAGGAGGGTGGTGTCGTGCCCCAGCTCCGCTCCGGCCAGTGGGGAGAAAACCCTGCGGCTTCGCGCAGAGACAGCCCGACTCCGGCGTATCGACCGGCCGGGCCGAGCCACGGGAGATGATTCCTCGCCCGGTTTGGAGATGAGCAGGATAACGTCACCCCGGGCCGCTGTCATCACCCGGAGCTTCTCCTGCCTCTCTGGGGCTGCATCCTGTGGGTGGGGGTGCGTCAATGGGAGCATGGCTGTGTCCCCCCGCCTTCATCAGCGACACAGACAGTGGGATTGAGGGCAAGTTTGCTGATGACACCAAGCTGAGCAGTGCGGTTGACACGCCCAAGGGATGGGATGCCATCCAGAGGGACACGGACAGGCTGGAGAAGTTGGCCCATGTGAACCTCATGAGGTTCATCAAGGTCAAGTGCAGGGTCCTGCACCTGGGTTGGGCCAACCCTTGGTATCAGCAGAGGCTGGGGATGGAGGATGGAGAGCAGCCCTGCCGAGAAGGACTTGGGGATGCTGGGGGGTGAAAAGCTGGCCATGAGCCAGCAAAGGTGCACTGGCAGCCCAGAAACCCCCCGCATCCTGGGCTGCATCCCCAGCAGCGTGGCCAGCAGGGTGAGAGGGGGATTCTGCCCCTCTGCTCCGCTCTGGGGCCACCAACAGCAGAAGGACATGGACCTGTTGGAGTGGGGCCAGAGGAGGCCACGGAGATGCTGGGAGGGCTGGAGCCCCTCTGCTGGGAGGGGGTCTGAGAGAGTTGGGGGGGTTCAGCCTGGAGAAGAGAAGGCTCTGGGGGAGACCTTTGAGCCCCTTCCAGTCCCTAAAGAGGACTTATAAGAAAGATGGGACAGAGTTTTTAACAGGACCTGTTGTGATAGGACGAGGGGTGATGTTTTTAAGCTAAAAGAGGGAAGATTTATGCTAGGTATAAGGAAGAAATTGCTTACACTGAGGGTGGTGAGATACTGGCCCAGGTTGCCCAGAGAGGTGGTGGATGCCCCATCCCTGGAATCATTCCAGGCCAGGTTGGATGGGGCTTTGAGCAATCTGGTCTAGCTGAAGATATCCATGGCAGGGGTTGGACTAGATGGCTTTTAGAGGTTCCTTCCAACTCGAACTGTTCTAAGACTCTGTGATATTCAGCTGATCCCTCTGTCTCCGCAGGCGCTGCCAAGGGCGAGGCCGAGAAGCGGCTGAGTGTGCAGTACACGGCGGGCGAGGAATGTCCCGACAACGTCTTCTTCCCCAGCACGCGGCCCCCCCACCTGGAGGAGCTGCACAACCAGGCTCAGCAGGGACTGAAGTCCTTGCAGCACCAGGGTAGGTGTCCCCAACCCCGGGGGTGGCCCCGGTGACACTCCTGGCTGGCCGGGCTGCGTGGGCGGCGCGATGGGGCTGACCGGAGTCCAGCCGGGGCTGGGGTGTGCGGGCAGAACTGCTGCACTCAGCAGCCATTTCTCCGGCTGGTGCCCCCCCCGGTTCTCCCGGAGGGATTTACCCCCTGCCTTCCCTCCCCAGAGAAGCAGAAGCAGACCAAAAGTGCCTGGGACCACGGGGACACCAGCAGCCTCCAGGTGAGCTAAGGAGATGGCTCTGCCTCTCAGTGCTTTCGGGGTGCCCTGGAGGGTGAGGGGACACCGGGTGGTCCCTCTGTCCCATCCCCAGGTGCTGTTTGGGGGCTGGGAGCAAGTGGGGAACTGGCTGAAGCTGGGGCTGCAAGACCGTGGCCGGAGGTTTGTGGAGTGGGAAGGGACCGTTTGTCCCTCAACATTATCCCCTTTGCCCCTGTCCCCCTCCTCAGCCTTGGCGTGTCCTGCTGTGCCCGGGAGCCCCACCATGCCCACGTCCCTCTGTCCCCCCCTTCCCACCCCACTGCTGTCCCCTCGCAGCCCTGAGCAAGGTGGGGTGACGGGACGGTGTGACGGGGTCTGTTGGCCATATCCAGCCCCACGGCCGGGTCCCTCCCTGGCTGCTGACGAGGAGAAACTCCCACTCTCTTGGCCAAGCTGAGCTTTGCTGCTTCCCAGGGCTCTGACCCCGCTGCCATCCATGTTTGCTCAAGCCACTGCCTCCCGCTGGCTCTCGGCCCACTTAACCCCTTGGAAGCGGGGGGCTGGGAGTCCCTGGGGGGGCACAGAGCCACGGAGGGAGGCGGGATGGCTCAGGGTGACGTGGTGGAGGGTTTGGGCGGTGGTTCCTGCTGATGTGTCTCATCCCGACCTCCGCCTGTGCCAGGAGATGCTTTGGAGGTCTGGGGGGGGAGGGGGGTCACTGAAAGCTGTGCTGTTGGCTGTGCCCAGGGGGTAAATGTGCGATGTGTGGGTCCCCAGCGTGGTCACATCACTGCCTCTTTGTCCCTGTCCAGCCCCCACCCCATCCCTGCACCCCTCTCCCAGCCATGGCAGCCCTCCAGCCCCGGGCTCTGGGGCACAGCAGGGCTGGGCACAGCCATGGGGACATTTTTGGCTTGGCACGGCGGCAAGGCTGGTGGTTCCCTTGGGTCCTCCTCTGGCAGACCCGACCCCAGCTCGTCTGCTCTCCAGGGGGGCTACAAGGCCATGAGGGGTCCCTGGGGCTGCTCTCAGCCCCGCTCTGGTGGGAGGACTCTGGATGCCGGCGTGGCTGACTCAGCCTTTGGCCCTCGGAGAAGCTTTTGTCTCGGCAGCGCTGGGCTGCGGACTCAGTTTGCGGCGGAGAAGGGGCCTTGGCGGGGGCCAGGGCAGCTCCTTTCCCGCAGCCCGGGGTCCGCCTGAGCCCCCTCTCTGCCCACGCAGTCCTGCGCATCCTTGGAGGATGACAGCGTGTCCTTCCGGAGCCGGGCGGCCTCCTGTGCCACTGACAGCACCTCCGAGGACGCCCTCTCCATCCGCTCCGAGATGATCCAGCGGAAAGGTGCCCGGCTGGGGGGCTGCGGGGACGGGGGGGACATGGGCCAAGGGGGTGCGAGGCTGGGGGGGCCCAGGGTGCATGGCAGGAAAGCTGGGCTCTCTGCCTTGGTGTGGCCAGGAGCCAGTGCGGGGATTTGGGGGCCCTTGGAGAGAAGGGAGCAACTCTGGCTGAGTCAGAGGGCTGGGGCTGGGCGAGGGGGGACAGACAGATGGACAGACAGCGTCTCCTCCTTGCTCAGACCACGCAGCTCTTTGGCAGCTGCTGGTGTCTCTCCGGGCTGTGCCAAGCGCCTGCGCCCGGCTTGTCCTGGAGAATCTCGGGCAGTGGAGGGGGTGCTGGGGACACTGGGGACCCCCTGGCCAGGCCCCCCCTCACACCGACTCGTGCCTCTTGCAGGTTCCACCTTCCGACCGCACGACTCCTTTCCCAAATCCTCGGAGAGGGCTGGCAAGAAGAGGAAGGAGAGGAGGACAACGGTGCTGGGCATCCCCCAGCACGTCCATAAGGAGCTGGGTAAGCCTCAGAGGGGATTTTTTGGGTCTGGTCTCGTTGCCCAGGCTCTGTTTGCCTTGGCTCAGTGTGTCTGCCCTGGGATCACACCGGCTTCGTCTCTCCCTGCTCTCCCAGGTCTCAGGAACAGCCGGGAATCCAAGGGACACCCTGACGCTGGCGGGCGAGGGCCGGCGGAGCGCGGGGGCAGCCAGGTACCGCAGGTCTTGCTGAACGGTGGGCAGGTCTCTGGCGATGCCATCCGCATCCCCACCATCGACGGGAAGCTGCAGCCCCTGGCTGTCCCCGGGGGCGCCCACGTCCGCCTGGGAGCCCTGGAGGAGGCAGACGCAGCCCTGCAGAAGCACATCGACCGGGTTTACTACGACGACATGCTGGTGGGGAGGAAGACGGCAGCCAAGCTGTCGCCCATGGTGAGGCCAAAGTCACTGGCTGTGCCAGGCATGACCACCAACACCAGCCCTCCGGAGCTGCTGGGCCCCGTCATGTCCATCTCGCCCCAAGGCACCTACATGTCCAAGATCATCCCGAACGCCATCCTGCCGCCCATGGTGGACGTGGTGGCCCTGACACGGAGCAGCGTGCGGACTCTGAGCCGCTGCAGCTTGGTGTCGTCCAGCCCGGCCTCAGTGCGCTCCCTCACCCGCTTCTCGGAGCGCAGCGCCCGCAGCCGTGAGCCTTCCTCCTCCAGCGACAACTGGAGCCACTCACAGTCCACAGAGACCATCGTCTCCAACAGCTCCACCATCTCCTCCCAGGGGGGCTCTGGGCAGCCCGAGGCAGGGCCACGGGGTGAGGTGGACGTGGCCACTCGCTCCGACACCGACCAAGTCAGCATCTATAGCTCTGCCAGCTTCGCCAGCTCCTGCTCCAAGCCCACCACCGGCCCCACGCCTGCAGCCCCTGGGCTACTAGCCGTGGGGACCAGCAGTGGCCGGGCGTCCCCTGCCTACAGCACGAGCAGCCAGGCAGAGGGCTCGGACACGGGCAGCCTGGCCAGCGAGCGCTCTTCCACCCGTAGCGTCTCCCTCAGGAAGATGAAGAAGCCCCCAGCCCCCCCTCGCAGGACCTACTCGCTGCACCAGAAGTCCGAGGGGGAGCCCAAGGTGCTGGGGCTGCCCCCCAAGCCCGACCGGCGGTCCCAGCGGGAGAGCAGCACGCCCTGGTCCCCGCGCCCCGAGCCCTTCAGCCCCACGGCCGAGGATGAGGTCTTCTCCCCATCGTCGCTGAGCGAGACCAGCAGCCTCCGCTCCGAGAGCTTGGCCGGTGCCAGCTCCCCCGAGGCCTCGCGGGGCAGCCCCGGGGTGACGGTGGTGCTGCGGGAGCCCCAGGCTCAGCCCAAGTGGAGCTGCCCGGATGGGTTTGACCGCACCATGTCCCCTTCCAGCGGCTACTCCAGCCAGAGCGGGACACCCACGCTGCCCACCAAGGGGCTGGGACCCCCTTCCGTGTCCCCGGGCAGGGCTCAGCCCCCGAAGTCGGACCGGGTCTGCTCCCTGCAGTCGCCTGCGCTCTCCGTGTCCTCCTCCCTCACCTCCATCTCCTCCTCGGCTTCAGACCCGGCCCCCCCTGAGACTCTGCCATGCCGCTCAGACCGGTTCGTCATCCCACCGCACCCCAAGGTGCCCGCTCCCTTCTCCCCACCACCCACCAAGCCCCAGCAACCCGTGGCCCCCGCTGGCCCCCTTCTTCCTTCTCCAGACCCACCGGCACCCAGCACTGCCGGCCAGGAGCCCTCGGCCAAGCCCAGCAGCAAGTCTCCACCGCCATCGCCGCCGCCTGCCTACCACCCACCTCCCCCGCCGGCAAAGAAGGTGGAGGGGAGCCCCCAGGCCGCCAGTGAGGCCCCCGCTGATGCTGCCTGGCCCCCACCACCTCCACCAGCTCCTGAGGAGCACGACCTGTCCATGGCGGACTTCCCCCCTCCAGATGAAGCCTTTTTGTCCAGCCTGCCCGATGCTACACTGGCTCCGGTGGCCGGGCAGACAGCGGCACCGACCCCGGGGGCTGCGTCTTCCTCCTTCTCGGCCACCGTCTCCTCACGCAGCCAGCAGCAAGAGCCACTGGCCGGGGCACCGCGGCCACCTTCCCCCACCAAGCCCCCTCCTGAGACCACCGTGCCGCCGCCACCGCCTCTCCCCCCACCCTCGGCTCCGGCTCTGCCGCTCCAAACCAGCCTTAAGAAGGCGGCCAACGGCCCCCAGGCGGACGCCAAGAAGGAGCCGGTGTTGCGGAGCAAGAGCGGCCCCGTAGCCAAGGAGGACGCCAGCTTGCCCATCGTCACGCCGTCGCTGCTGCAGATGGTGCGGCTGCGCTCCGTCAACGTGGAGCCCCCCGCCGGGGCTGGGGCCAGTGCCGAGGAGCGGCCGGCACCCCAAAAGCCCGTCCGCCGGTCCCTGTCCACGCGGCAGCCCCCTCCTGCCAAAGACGCGGTGCCTTCCAACCAGCTCCACCACGCCGTGCACCTCAAGGCAGCAGCCTTGTCCTCCTCCTCTGGCGAGGCTGCCGAGAAGCCACCGGGCAACAAAGCGGCTCTGCCCGGCCCCGAGGGACCCCCCGGGGATGGCCAGCTCTCCCCCAGGAATAAGTCCCCGGCCTCCACTGCCAGCTTCATCTTTGCCAAGAGCTCCAAGAAGCTGGTGATCGAGACGGCCTCGTCCCCCGAGGCGCAGGCTGACCTGAAGAGGAACTTGGTGGCCGAGCTGATGAATTTCTCGGGGCAGCGCTCGGCAGCCCCGGCTGCCGCCCAGCAGGGCCCCGGCAAGGCGCAAACCCACCGAAAACCCGGCAAGATTCCCCCTCCGGTAGCCAAGAAGCCTTCTCTTGGCCCGGGGCCGGCTCCTTCCCCCTTGAGCCCGAAGGCACCGGAGGTGGAGGCGCTGGGCTCCCCCGTGCCCGACGGGAAGGCCAAGGCAGCGCCGGCCGACGAGAGCAGGACTAAGAGTGAGCCGGCGGGGACGGCGGCCACGGGGACGGAGGGGAGGAATGGCACAGAGCCACCGGCTTAGAGCCTCCCTGCACAAGGTACATGGGACTGGGGGGGCCGGGTTCAGCCCCACCATGGGATGCTCAGGCTCCAATGCAGCTCTTGGGCTGTGTGGGGCTGGGGTGACACCGGGATGGGTTGGGAGAGCCCAGGTGTGGGGCAGGGCTGTGGGAAGATGGGGCTGAGGGAAGCTGATGGTCTCTTCCCTCCTGCCTTGCAGATGGACGGGGAGAGACGGCCTGAAGGACGAAGCTGCAGGAGGAACTGGTGCCCCGCAGACAGGAATCCAAATCTCTCAGGGACCTGGGCAGGTCAACGGACGAGTGTGGAACTGGCAACTAACTTAATACAGGAAGCAAACAGCCTTAGCCTCCACGGCCTTGATGATATTTATGCAAAAATGGTGTTGGTTTCACTTTCCTAAGTACTACAGCTTTATTTTGCTTTTTTTTTTTTGTTTTGTTTTTTTTAACTGGACTGGAGACCCCATGCCCAGAGCCAGCACCTCCTCCCTCCAGCTTGGTTTGGGGTGCGGAGCCGAGCAGCCCCACAGAGGATGAAGATGCTGGAGCCGCTCTGCCCGCGAGGAATCAAAGCACTTTGGACACGGGAAGGGGGAGGCTTTGGCCACAGGGGAAGGCGGGCAGGAGGGGATGGAGATGCTGGTTGGGAGGGACCAGGACCTCAGCCCTTGCTGGAGAGGCAGGAGGGGACACTTGGCCAGCACCGATCTCTGCCCGCTGGCCGCAGGGTGGAGGGGAAGCCCAGCTGCCCCGGGAGCTGGTCTTCAGACCCTGGGGTAGAGCCTCAAGTTCTGTTTCTGTAACCTCGGGTCACGTTTTAATTTCTTTGATTGTAAAAAAACAAACGAACCAAACTGACCAAACCAAACCAAAAGCAACCAACCCTCTGCCACCGAGTAGCTGCTCAGAGCTCTGTACTGGCTGGTAAAAATGATGACCGAAGCTTGCCCGCCTCCTGTGCTTCCTTGCCATGGCCTTGCCACACGCAACAACAGCCCCTTCCAGTGATGCCAAGCCCTGGGGTGGGCACAGACCCCCCCCCCCCAAGGGGGCTGGCTCCTGGCCCCGCTGCCCATGCAGGGGGGGGCAGAGGGCTCAGGCAGCACTAAACCACAGGAGTGGGACTAGTTGCCAACTTGGCCACCTCCCCCCAGGGAGACGGGCACACTCGGGCACATTCGGCTTCACGTTTTATTTGGGTTTACAACAGACAGATGGTTCCCGAGTCAGTGTTCAAGGCCCGTGCCCCCCAAGGGCTCAGGACAGACCCACCGGTGCTGCCCGGGCTCCTGGCCCAAGAGCAGCCCCAGCAGCAGCCCCAGCCCCCTGGGGGGGCGCTGAGCGTGGAGCAGGGGGTGTCCAGGCAGAGCAGGGGGTGCCAGGCAGTTGCCCCCAGCTCTGTTAGCAGCAACACAGGTTCGAGCAAGCAGCCTTCCCTTTCTGCCCTCACTGCTGTCCCAGTTGGGGCCAGCGGGCAAGGCATCCAGTCTGTGGCACAGCTGGGAGCGAGCCCACGGCCCCAGCGTAGGGCCTGAGGCCACGGGCACAAGTCACACAGGTCCCAGGTGCCAGTCCCCAGAGCTGGCCCACGGCTGAGGCACGGACGCTGGCTGAGCAGGCCCCGGGGTGAGGGGGATGTCAGAGGCAGCTCCCCAGGTTGAGAAGCTGCAAATTCAGTCCCAAAGCCCCCAGGTCCCACGGAGCTGAGCCCCCGGCTCGGGGCACTGGGGAGGAGATGGCAGGGACCAGGGAGGAGAGCCTGGCTGGAGCGATGGAGGGGACCAGGCAGGAGGCACGAGCAGCAGCTCTGGCACTTGTTAGCTGATGCTCCCTCCCTTCAGGCTTTTACAGGAGACTCTCCCCAGCTTGGTCAGGAAGTTTTTCTGCTTCCACTGGGCCACGCAGTCCTCAGAGATGCGGAAGTCGGCCTGGGGAGCAAAGCAGGGGAAGCAGGGTCAGGCCTGCGCTGCCGGTGGTGCCTCGCTCAGCTGGAGGGGAGGTCTGTCTCCTCCACGGCTTTGCTGACAGTAGCAAATGGGGACACTATGCAGCAAATAGCTAATTTGGGGTCACACAAGTGGGGAGAGTGGCCCTAAGCACTGCCCCACTCAATGCCTGGAGCCCCATCTACTCTGAGCTGTGGCCCAGGCCCCCTGGCACAGCCCCTCACCTGCAGCTTCTCGAAGACCTTCTTCTTGGGCTTGAGCTCGTCGTCGGGCTCCCCGCTCTCGTAGCCCTCCACGTAGACGCGCTCCCCAGCGCAGCTCCCGGCCGGCGGGTCCAGGGGCTCCACCTGCCGCGGCTCCCCCACGCTGCCGAGGGGTGTGGAGGAACAGAGTCACCCCAAGGCAGCACCCACCCTGCCCCCCAGAACCACCAGGCTCTGGGGCAGAAGATGGGGGTCTGGACTGCACCCCCAGAGGGGTACGGCCCCCCGATGTCCCCTCCCTCACCTGGAGGCACACAGCACCATGCCCTGCGACTCCACACCCCTCATCTTCTGGGGCTTGAGGTTGCACAGCAGCACCACCAGCCTGTCCTGCAGCTGCTCCTTGGGGACGAACTGCACCAGGCCACTCACCACGGTGCGGGGCTCGGGCTCCCCCACGTCGATCTTCTCCACGTACAGGCTGTCAGCATCTGGGTGCTGCCAAGCAGAAGCCAAGTGAGGAGCAGGGAAGGGGACAGAGCCCCCCTACACGCCCCGAGTGCCCATGCCACCACCTGGGAAGGTTATTCCCCTCTCCCCGTTGTGCCCGTACCTTTTCCACACTGATCACTTTGCCAACACGGATGTCCAGCCGGGATGGGACCACATTCTCTGGCTCTGAGTTCTTGGTGCCCTTCTCTGCAGGCTCTGCAGTGCAAAGGGAACAGTTGTGCCACTCAGCATAAAGCCAGGGAGTTGGCCAGGCTCTGGGGAGCACACAGTGACCCCCAAACGCTGGCCCTGAGGCTCCCTGAATTCACTGCTTGTCTCTAGACCAGAGAGCATAGTCCCTCCTCTGTCCTCTCCAGGCCAGGCGAACACCCCCGCTGTTGGTCTTTCCTCACCCTTCCTAATGCTCTCCAGGGCTGCTCCCGAGACTGAAGTTTCTGAACTTCTCTCTAACCTCACCCCCTGAAGGGACTCTCTCCCACCCAGCCCCACTTCCCTGAGCTCCCAGCACCTCCTTACTGGCTTTGGTAGGGTCGGGATATGCTGCATTGGTCAACTTCTTCAGTTCTGGGCTGTTGAATTTCTCTCTGATGGGGTCAAGCAGTTTGTTCAGGGCCACTTCCACCGAGTTCTTCAAGTCTCCGGGATGCACGACCTGTATCGTGACAAACAGACGGGTTCCTGCTTGGCTTCCTCCTGAGCAGGGGGAGCAGCTGAATTTGAGTCACTGATCTGAGGCCAAAGAAGTAGGAACTGGATACGATGCAGGGCAGGGAGATGAACTCCAGCGCTTAAGACTCATTCCCCCTCAGAAAACAAAGCCACTTTTCTGGACACTTTTGCTTGCAGCCTCAGTTCGGAACAGTTCACCTGCTGCTCTGTTCCAGGATGTGGCTGATGTGGTCCTGTCCTGCTCCAGGACAGCTGCTGCCCCATGTCCTCTCACCTTAGGGCTCTCCTGGTGAGCAGCACCCTGCCACCCTACAGCCACTGGGCCCTGCTCTGCTCCACACTTCCCCCAGTGCTGATTTCCATCTCCCACTGCTGCTGAGAGCCCTCCAACAGCGCTCTGAGGAGCAGTTCAGTCCCTCCTGACACTCACCTGATCAGCAAAGTCCTTCTCCAGGGCCTCATAGGCCGTGTAGGTTTTGTTTCCTCCCCATTTTTCTTCTCGTAGAATGACAAATTCTGCAACACACAGATTTTAAGGCTCAGATTAACCCAAGCAGAGACTCACCCCCTGCTCAGCCAGATAAACCACCCAGCTTCAGGGGACGCACGCTGATGTCCCCTCCTCTTAACCACAGGAAAACCAGCCCCAGTGCCTGAGCGTGGGGAGCTCCTCACCTGACTTGAGGGGAAAGAGGACGTGCTTGATGAAGGAGAGGACACCGTTGTTCTCCACGTTCCCTGGCTCGCAGAAAGCCTTCTTCAACTTCTTCTTCACGTCCTCCTTGCGGTCCAGAAGGTCAATCTTTGAGTCCTGCAGGAAGAGATTTCTGCAGCCTTTTACCCAACCTCTCGCCCAAAAGAGACAACTCATGCTGGAGTTACTGCAACTTCTTAGACCCCAGCATGAGTGGAGAGAGACGTCACCTTCTCTTGGGGTGCAGCCTCTGCACCCCCAGCCATTAACCCCTGCAGAATCCCTGAACCACAGCCACCACTCAGGGACCAACCTCTTCTGACGAGCTCATTTTGCTGCCTGTCAGACCAGGAACCATCGGGTTCATCAAATGGACGCGCTTGGCATAGCCCAGGGAAGGAAGGTACTGGGAAAAAGCAAGGAGGCAAATCATGGACAATCCTCTTCTGAAGATCAGCTTTAACCCACAATCCCCGTTTGCTCCTGGCTCCAGGTAAATTTGGGATCCAGAATAACAGACCCAGAAAGCTATCGTGAGTTCATGGGGCACAGAAAGCCACAGCCAGGGATACTGGCAGCACACCAGAGCCCTGCAGACCTGCTGCAAAGGGTGCTGTGGTGCCAACCAAAGTCACAGACATGCTTCTCCCAAAGGATTAGTGAGTGTTTGAACCCTTAGCCAGGCGTCAGCATCACAGGAGGCTCAGAAACACCCCCATTCCTCACCTTTTCTGCAAAGGTGAATATCTTCCTCTGATCAACTCCTCCAAACTGTGCGTCGACCTTGAGGTACTCCTCATCCAGCGCCTGCGGAAAGACACACGCAGCCTTGAGACTGAACCCAAGACTCCACGCTCAGCCTTTGGAGGTCCTGCTGATCCCCCAGGATCTGCTCAGCTTCTGCCAGGGAAAGGGAGCTCTCTGGGCTGCCTGCTGTCCTGCAGTTGGCTGGAGTCGCTGTAAAAGTAGCTCTACGTTCAGGTTATGCTTTGTGCTGCTGCCAGGTGGAATATCAGGGTGGAGTATAACTACCTTGGCATTCAGCCTCACAGGTCCCTGCCGTCCCAGCTTTGCCCAGCAGCTCCCCACCAGCCCAGCAGCTCCGCTGACCAGCCTCGCCACCACGCACCTGCAGGCCTGGGTAGAGCAAACCGCTCAGCAAAGGGTGCTCCACCTGCTTCACCACCTCCGCACCCGCCTTCTTGGCGTCGTGCTGCGTCACCACGGAGGAGAGGCGATAGACATCCAGCGTGTACTCCCTGCGGGAAGGGACAGGGCTGTCAGCACCAGGGAGGGGGACACCTTTTAGACCCACTTCATGGAAACACCGGTTCTAGCCACAGCAAGAGGAGCCCAGGCCTGGAGGCACCTTCACTTTGTTCCCTGAATGACAGTGCCTGGGAGCAGGCTCAGGGACAGCAGAGCCCCAGGTCAGGCTCTCCCTTCCCCAGAGGGCCAGACACTCCAGGACTCACTTGCTGAGCTGGTAGTCAGTGCCCCGGACGAACTTGAGCTTTTCCAGGGGCACCCCAATGCTCTCCAGCATGGCTTTGATCACGTTCTCGTAATAGCGGGTGCGCAACTCCAGCAGCTCCCAAGGGGCCTTCATGTTGTCTAGGTAAGCGTGGAGATCAGCAAAGAGTATCGTCACCTGGGACAGAGGGGGACAGAGTCAGTGCCACCCTGCTCAGGGAAAAGACACATTCCCACCCACCGGTGTGGTAACAGTCACACAGGGTTCCCAGCCTGGCCACCTACCTCACACCCTGCCTTCAGGAAGTCTGCAATCTTGGACATGGGCACGAAGTAGGCCACATGTGGCTTGCCCGTGGTGGCAGTCCCCCAGTAGATCTTCAACTCTCGCTCCTTCAGGATAGCCATGAGCTTATCCTCTCCCAGCACCTCCTGTGGAGGGCCAAGACACACATCTGGTAGGGCTAAGCCTCCACAGAAACACGCTACAGGAGGACACGGGTCGGACAACGTTTCTTCTGAATAGCTTAGCGCCGAGCCGTGCCCAGGCTCCGGCCCACCATTCAAGCAGCATGTCCCCGGGGCTCCTGCCGGGTACCGAGGCTGATCCGGACTCCCCTCCGCTACGCCCAGGGCCTGCCTCGGTCCGGAGCCGCCCTCCCCAGGCCCCGATCTCCCCCTCCCGGCCTGCCCAGGCCCCGATCTCCCCGCTTCGGCCCCGATCCCCCCGCCCCAGTACCTGCAGGTTCCGGGTGATGAGATGATACTTCTCCTGGGGACCGGGTGCAGGCTCCATGGCGGCAGCTACAGGGAAGGAGACAGCGTTACCGGAGGCCCCAGCCCCCCCGGGAGCCCGCCGATGCCCTGCCCGGTCCCGGGGCCGCCCCGCTCCTCCCCGGCCCGGTCCCACCGACCTTCCCCGCGTTGCATCAGCCCCTCTCGGCGCTCGCCTGCCGCGCCTGGTCGTCACTTCCGGCGTCGGAGCGCCGAGCTGCCGATAGGGAGGGGGCGGGGCCTCGCTCCGCCAATCGGGAGGCGCCTCGCGGGCGGGAGCGGGGGGGCGCAGTGATAAAATGGCGGCGGGTGAGCGAGGCGCGGCCCGTTCCGCCGCCAGGCCCGGCCCAGGCCCCGGCGGGTCATTGGTCTTAGGATAGCTTCTTGTTTATTGATTTAGGTTATTTGCCCCTTTTTCCCCATCAGGGCTTGCGGGAGCAGCCGGCGCCTGGCCCGGAGGCGGGGCGGGGCGGGCTCCTCCCTCGGGGCGGCCCCGCGCAGCGCTGTTGGGCGCCGGTTGGGAGGTCCCGGGCCGTGCCCGCGGGATGGGGGTTGGAAGGGGGTTGCTGAGGTAGGGATAGGCCCAGAGCAGGTACGAGTAAACCTCTGACAGAGTGGGCGAAGTCAAGGAGCTGCAAAGGTGAAAGGCCGGTGTTTGCCTTTGTGCTGTGAGAGGAGAGCACAGTCCCTACGCTTATAAATACTGAAAGGGTGGGCATCAGGAGGATGGGGACAGGACAAGAGGAAATGGGCACAAACTTGAATATAAGAAGTTCCATCTAAATATGAGGAGGAACTTCTTCACTTTGAGGGTGGCAGAGCCCTGGCAGAGGCTGCCCAGGGAGGTGGTGGAGTCTCCTTCTCTGGAGACATTCAAACCCACCTGGGCACGTTCCTGTGGGACCTGCTCAGGGTGGCCCTGCTCTGGCAGGGGGTTGGAGGAGGTGATCTCCAGAGGTCCCTTCCAACCCCATGTGATTCTGTGATATGTCCCACGATTTTATCTTGTTATGGGCAAATCATGGGGCTGAGGGAAGTGTTAGTCCATGATTGTTTCCCCCTGATCCCTGTTCTCTCATCAGGGAGCAGATCCCAGGGCAGCCCAGTGCTGTTGGTGGGGTCTGTGTCTGGCTGTGGGGAGTGGTGTGGGCAATATGGCCAGTCCGTGAGCCTGGGCAGAACTGTGTTTCTCAGTAGTTTTGTCTTTTGATCTCATTATTTACTGAAGCTGTGCTAGAAACCCACATAAAGTGTCCACCTGCAGTACTTTGTCCAGCTCTGGGGCCCCCAGCATCCGAAGGACATGGACCTGTTGGAGTGGGGCCAGAGGAGGCCACAGAGATGCTGGGAGGGCTGGAGCCCCTCTGCTGGGAGGGGGGGCTGAGAGAGTTGGGGGGGTTCAGCCTGGAGAAGAGAAGGCTCCGGGGAGACCTTAGAGCCCCTTCCAGTCCCTAAAGAGGACTTCTAAGAAAGAAGGGGGCAAACTTTTTAGTAGGGCTGTAACAATAGGACAAGGGCTAATGGTTTTAAACTAAAAGAGGGAAGATTTAGGCTAGATATAAGGAAGAAATTGTTTACACTGAGGGTGGTGAGACCCTGGCCCAGGTTGCCCAGAGAGGTGGTGGATGCCCCATCCCTGGAACCATTCCAGGCCAGGTTGAACGGGGCTTTGAGCAGCCTGGTCTAGCTGAAGATGTCCATTGCAGGAGGCTGGACTAGATGGCCTCTAAAGGTCCCTTCCCACCCAAACACTCCATGATTCGAAAGCACGTGTAAATTTCCAAGGAGCTTTCCTTTGGCTGCCCGTGGAGAATGACCCATCCAGGGCTGGGGTTTTGCAGTTGAGCTGGCTCCAAGGTGGGCTGACCATAGGAGCACTAGTGCTGGAACGACAGACAGGGTGAGAGGGTGGCAGCAGGCAGCTTTTTCTTACATCAATTTAAGAGCCATTTAAACTGTTAATGAGTGTTACCCTGGTGTAAATCCTGGATCAGCCTGTCTGTGAGGGATGGGAGGGGTCTTTGTCTGGTTGCATAGTTACCGGGTTCTGCTTCCAGAATCAGTTGCTGTAGGGCTGAAAGCCAGACTGGGAGTAGGTTGGAGACAGGTGAACTGGGAAGGTCACAGCAGTGAAGAAGCCACTTCCTTGTCTGCAAGCGGAGCATGCAAACATCTCCCAATGTCCTTTTTGTAAGCCAGTTCCAGCAAAAAGGCTTAAAATGTTTGCTTCTCTTTCAGGTCTTTATTGGTTAGGAGCTAGATGGTCAGACTGCTCCACTCTGTAGGACTAAACCCATGTTTAGTTTGTTTTATTTGTCTTTTGTTTCCCTTCAGAGCACTTGTGGCTAAATTGCAGAACTCCAGGCAAGTACTATCTAGTGAGGACTGCCTGTGACTCCCTGTGTTCTTGTGTAGGTTTTGTGTGTACGTAGGTGATTCCTGAGGTATTTTCTTTCCTCAGTGTGGTTACAGCATTATTCTGAAAGTGCCGATTTTTATTATTTGGACAGAATGAAAAGAGGAAGCAGCAGAACTGAGTTTTATTCCTGGCATAGGTAACACCCTCCTTTTTGAAAGCAGTGTGTAGTCAAAGGTAGGGAAAGACAAAAGGTACTGCTTTAAATCTACTGCACAAAGAGGGCAGGAAATACCTTTCTTTAGTTAGGATTCTCCTGCTGTGTGAGAGTCAAATGCGGGGCTTTCAGGTCAAAAGATTCATGGTAGTTTGAGTCCTTACTAAGAGGAAAACAGGTTTTGTTTATGAATACTTTTAAACTATTGAATTTTACGGGAAGGTTCTTTATCTTCTGATCTTTCATTATAAGATGTGTTTTGTGTGAGTGTGTTAGTGACTAATACCTGCTGAATGTCCTCTTAGCTCCCTGACAGAGTTACTCTTCCGTTGCTCAGTTTTTCCTAACCCAAAAAAAGACTTTTTATTTGTTTAGTGGCTTTGAAGGACGGAGCTGGGGGTTGGGAGATGGTGGTGGGGGGGGGATGTCTGTGAGGCTTTATTTAATACCTAAAGTGTGCTCGGTACTTTAAGGTCGTAAAGAATAATTTGTGAGTACTGGTATCTGGTGTTAGAGTGACTGATTTACAGCAGCTTTGGAGGAGATGGTACAGACTGCAGTGATGGTTTGGGCTTGTATTAGTCCTTCTTGATAAAGCCAAACAACCTGAGAACACTCAGGGAATGAGAGTCTGGTTGTTGTTATATGTTGTTAAGACCTAAAATGGTCAGGAGTAGAGGTAATGGAGACCAGGGAGTTAAAACTGTGCCTGCTGTGCCTCAGCTAGTGTTTTTGCCTTCCCTGTTACATTACTGCATCTTTGGAAAACCAGCTGAGTTTCTTTTATTTAAGATGTTGTCTTTTGCTGGCAGATTGGAGCTGACTCTTGCTGATTTCTGAAAGGGCTGATCGAAGGGCACCGGGGTCAGATGAACTTCAAAACAGGCTTCTAGAGCAGAAGGCACGGGGTCACTGAGATACAGGAACCGGCAGCAACATGGACGACCATTCCCTTCATGCCTTTGGGCTTCCTCCTTGCCCTGAATTTAAACCTACTGTTCATAATGGAGTTCTCAGGGGCAAAAGGCTCTTGGATTCCTCAGAGCAGGTTCAGGCCCTGCCCTCAGCTAAGAAGCCTTGTGTCTTGAATCATCACTGTAGCACTCCAGATCCATCAAAGAAACTGCTGCTCTGCTCCCCAGATTCTGCCTGCTTTCAAGGATCCTCTCATTTTCTGGCTGATACTGGCCATGACGACCTTGTTGCCAGTTCTTCTGCCTCAAAATATGATGATGTAGCCATTTCTCTAGATACAACCAGATGTTTTGATGATAGCGAGCCAGATGACTCCTTGTTGGAACTGTCAGACAATGAAATAGGGAATTCTCCTTTCAATTACACCGAGGAAGAGATCCAGGAAATCTTGGCAGATGATCGTGTGGAATCTGAGTGGTACCTAATGAGAAAAAGCACTCTGAGCCAAAATGTAAATGGAGAGAGTGAAAAGGACGAGAGCAGCAGCTGCACCGGGGCATCAGTCATCAGCGAAGATGTGAGCGTGGCCTCAGAGATCACAGAGACACCAAACAAACCTCCATCCAGAGAGTGTTCTTCATCTGGTTCAGAACCTCCCAGCCTTTCCAATGAGAGTGTTAGTTTGGACGGGCACCCTCTGCAGTCAGCCCAAGTACCCCGCGTGTTGTTTGACCTTGACATTGAGGAGCTTCTGAGCCTTAGCCCAATTGATGCTGATGATGTGGATCAGCCTCTGGAAGACAATTCTTTGGAGGAAGCCAAAAGAGAAGCTTCAGAAGAAAACCAAAGTGATTGCCTAGAGTTTGATAAAACGGCAAGTAGCTGCGTTCTTGAAGAATTCTTGGAAGAGCTGATGTCTAATGGATGGCAAAGCCTGGGTGTGGGCTGCCTGGGAGAGACGCCCGTTGTGAGCAGACATGTGCCTGACTCCTGTGATGATCAGCTGGAAAGGTCCATGCTCTCTTCTGACCCTGCCTGTGACCAGAGTCCAGCTGAGGAGAGATCAGCGCCCGGGTTACCAAGGTGTCCCACGCCATCTTCTGGGTCTGGAAACCGAGAACTTTCCAAAGCAACGAAGAGATATTTTTCAAGGAAATTAAACTTTCTAGAGGATCATGGGGAGCAGGAATCTTCAGCAGCTGAACAGCCATCAAACAGTATCAAAGTAAACATACATTTTAATTCTTGTAACTAAAACGTTTTAAATTCTACTCCTTTTGATTGGTACTTGCAGTAATGTCCATACGCACACAAGTGTGCATTTTTACACAGTAAGGGGAGGTTTTTCAAGTGGAGCAAAGTGTGAATTTTTATGTAACTGAATAAGTAAGACTTCCATGGAATGTTTTTTCTATTAGGTGTTAATCCCCTTTCTCCTTATCTTTCTAGTTAAGTGATACAGCTGTAGGCCAGATTGGGCAGGAAGAAACAACCAGTGGGAAGAATCCTGTGTCACAGGAGGAGGAGGAAAGGTAGTTTCTTATGAACTTCTAAATCCCTTTGCACTGTGAAAAATGTCCCAGGAGTTTCCCAAACCAGTTCGTTTGGTTGTGTGCTGCTGGTTTTATCTTTTTTTTTTTCTTATGGTGCACTGAAATAGTGGGAAAAATATTTAATATTTTACCCTGTAAGATACTGTAAGAGCGGGAACAATATAGGGCTGGTCCATATAGGAAAGAAAGTTGCCAAGGGAGTCCCGGGCAGTGGTCTGTGGGGCAGAAGAGGAAATGTTTTGTCTGGCCTGGCTCGGTGGCCACTCTCCGGGAGTGGTTTCCGGCAGATGGCAGCAGCAGAGCAGCGCCGGGCGCTGCAGGGACGGTTGTCTTCTCCTCTCTGGTGCCTCTGGGCCCGGAGTTGGCAGTTCAGTGGTTCTTTGCTGTGCCTGCTGCAGACTTGCTGTACTCAGATGTTCTGCGCGTTGCTGTTCTCAGCATGGCCTTGAGTAACACGAAAAATCTGCGGCTTTTGGGGGCTCACTGCAGGTTCCTGGCTTGTTAATCAGGACAGTGACTTGCAGGTTTGTTCAGCTGACAGTCACTCCTGCTTTGCTCTCAGTAGGTTTCCTTTGCAGCTTTGCTCGAATAAATACATTTATTTTTGCATTCACATAGAAGTGCTGCAAGAAGTTGATGTCTCTTATAGTTCCGCAGGACACTTTCCCCCCTCTGTCATCTGTAACCTAATTTGACAAATTGTCTGAAAAACAATTAATGCTGTCTTTTATTTTAAAGCCTGAAACAACGGACTTGCACTTCAGAAGCAGAGCTTGAGGAAAAGAAACATTTATATCCTGAGTGTGTGTCTCCATATGAAGAAAACTGTAGCTCCTACACCAGGCAACTCCCAGATGGGACGGGGTAAGGCTGTGCTGGTGGGAAGGGCAGGATGGAGGATGGAGAATCCTTTGGGAGGCCTGGTCTGCTCAACCTGTATTCTTTGATGTTTTGAATGTACTTGTTTTTCAGAGGGAAATAAAAAGTGCCTGCTACACTTGCTAGTAATACCATGCAGAGAATTCCTGTACAGCAGCCGGTCTTATCCCAGGGCTGGTTCAGATGAGTTTCATGGTTTGGGAGACCTGGGATACAGGTTTTGCTGCGGTAAATCAGGGAGGCTCCCAAAACAGGCCCACGTTACCTGGGAAGAGAAGAGCTGAGCTCTGACTGGTTGTGTTGGGAGATCACCAGTTCTCTGTAACTGGTTCATAACTATGAGCCCAGACTCAGGGAATCCTCAGCTTAAGTGCTGGGATGAGGGTTCCCTATTGACACCTTCTCCACGTTGCCTCTCTCAGCGGTGTCATCCGAGGTCTATCGGCTGCGGAGGTTTAAAGCAAGATGTCTGTAGTGAGCACGTATGGATTTCAGCTGCAGAGCAGAATCTGATGGGTAGAACTGGGGTGTTCAGAAGGGCAAAGAGTGTTCTAGTAGCTTCCAGAGATGGCCCTCCCACTCTGGTTATTCTGGGTGTTCATGGGTGCAATAATTGTCATTTCTTGAGAGTTACAAGAAACTGACAGTTTTGTGGCTCCTTGCATGAAGCCTGCACTTATCTGGGCAGCACGAGCAGCTGCATAGCCACGGGGCTGCTTTCCAGCCTATGAATACAGCATAAGTAATGCAGAGGGGGGAGCAAGGAAAGCTAAAATGGCCTGTTTTCTCTTCGTTTCAAATTAAAAATGCAAGACGTATGTTCTAAGTCACAGAAAATCAGGCAGGAGCTCCAAATGAACAAAGCTGGTGAGCGCAAGAGAGATCTATTTTGCTGGGGAAGAACATTGTCTGTGATGCACACAATTTGATTTTCTTATTAGTGCAAACCTCTTTTATTCCAAATAGCTGGAGGCTTGGAATTCAGCCCGACAGACAGCGTGGGCTTTCCCAGTTGTTGCAGAAAAACCTCCTCGGTGGGCTGGCTTTGGCCCTGTGTGGTGTTTCTGTACACCTGGATCTGCAGCAGTGTCTTGTGTATCATTTGCATAGGAGATGCAATAATGCAGAATGATCCCAAGAAATTCCTAAAAGACAAATTAGCAGGTTTCAGAGCCAGCATGGGGATTCCCTTTGGGAAGCAGTAACTTACATATTGCTGCTACAAATCTTTGGCTCTTGTTTTTGTATTGCAAATTGTATCTTGGTTTGTATTGCAAATCCTCTGGCATTTGTCTTATGGTGGTGTTTGACTCTCTCCTACGTAATGTCTCTGCTATTCCTTGGATCCTCTCTCTCGCTCATGTGTTGTCTGGGTGAATTATGGGCTGGCTGCAGCAGAGGCTTTATCTTTTCACTTACCTGCACTGTATCTTGCACTTACTTACAGATTCTCTATAAATATAACTTTCTTATATCCATGGTGGGTGATTGTGTGCTAAAAGTTGCACGTGTGGAGTCTTCATCATTGACTGGTTGAAGAAATCCTTGTGTATTCTGAGTAAGTCTTTCAAATCCAGCCATCTCAAGCGAGTTGGGAGATAACCCGTGGTTTTGGTTGCTCTTTCTCTCATTCTAGTATCTAGAGGGTATTCAATCTAAATAGATAAATTTATTTGCGGCTTCCCATAGGAATCTAAATGCTGCTGAAGCTGTGTTGTAGCAGATGTAAAAATGAGATGTGATTTGAACATCTGCTTGGAAATGGGTGGCTGAAACTGATAATTGACCACAAAAGATTTCTGCCAGCTGACCATTTGTTAGCATTCACACTTCATTATTGCCCTTTATCCAACAGTAAATAGAATCATATCCTTCTTGATGAGATCCTCCTCGGCAATTCCTGCTTTTATAACTGCCTCTTGGCACTGGGTGTTGTCTCTGCTGCTTGGCCTTGTCCTCAGCAATGCACGTAGTTCTATGAGGCCTATTTTTAAATGGGCAGGGGAAGGACAAACTGAACAGAAAAAGCATTTCCCTCTAAACAGAGCCTTTTCTTGGTTTCCACCCCAACATCTGTACTTTAGGAGATCTGCTTTCACGGGTCATTAACGTTGCAGTTGTGCACGTGGGATAGTGCCCACACCACCTGCTGCTCAGACAAGTATTCTCGTGTTATTTGGAGGAGAATCACTCTGCCCAGAGTCACGCACCCCGGGATACCCAGGAGGCTGAGCCAGCTCCTCTCTGACCTCCAGCCACTGCTTTCTCTGAGGGCTTCTGTAGCAGGACTCCAGCAGTTCTCCTTCAGCCTTGGTTTGGTTGGTAGAGGTTTCTGATGCTTAGCAATTTTATCAGACTTCATACAACCTGATACATTGTTTTTTTGGAGCCCTGTTGAATCAAAGGGAGAGGCGGTGGAGGAAATACCTTATAAAGAGTCACAGACCATCTGGTCTTGCTGTAATAAAAAAGATTAGTATCTTCAAAAAACAGACACCCCAGGTTTAAGGCGATGGAAAGGGAGAATAGTATAAGGGAATGTATGGAGAAACAAATCTGTGAAATACATAGGCCTATTTTTAAATGGGCAGGGGAAGGACAAACTGAACAGAAAAAGCATTTCCCTCTAAACAGAGCCTTTTCTTGGTTTCCACCCCAACATCTGTACTTTAGGAGATCTGCTTTCACGGGTCATTAACGTTGCAGTTGTGCACGTGGGATAGTGCCCACACCACCTGCTGCTCAGACAAGTATTCTCGTGTTATTTGGAGGAGAATCACTCTGCCCAGAGTCACGCACCCCAGGGCACCTGGGAGGCTGAGCCAGCTCCTCTCTGACCTCCAACCACTGCTTTCTCTGAGGGCTTCTGTAGCAGGACTCCAGCAGTTCTCCTTCAGCCTTGGTTTGGTTGGTAGAGGTTTCTGATGCTTAGCAATTTTATCAGACTTCATACAACCTGATAAATTGTTTTCTTGGAGCCCTGTTGAATCAAAGGGAGAGGAGATGAAGGAAATACCTTATAAAGAGTCACAGACCATCTGGTCTTGCTGTAATAAAAAAGATTAGTATCTTCAAAAAACAGGCACCCCAGGTTTAAGGTGATGGAAAGGGAGAATAGTATAAGGGAATGTATGGAGAAACAAATCTGTGAAATACAAATGAGTGCTGTGTTAGCAGACTGCCTTGAAAGAGTCTGGGCTGTGGATTGGTCCTGAGCTGGCTGAAGAAAAGACTTTAATCTTGGAGCAGTTCTTAACCTGCCCAAACTCATTTTGCTTGAATGGAGAGCGTGCAGGGAAGGTAGGGGACTTGGGTGTGCTGACATAAAGGAGGAATTATGTTTATGCTGAGCCTAGGAGGGAGATTTCATTTCAAAGCAAATGAAATCCACCTACAAACCCTACATTTCAAGAGGGGTGTGAGATGGGGCTTGGCGTAGGGGATATGGGGTAGGAATAAAGCAGATTGTAAGGAGGCTTCTGCCGGGGGAGTGGTGGGAGCAGTTACCTGCTCTCACTCTGCGCTTCTGGTCCAGGGGCTTCTCTAGTGACAAACCATGTGGCTCCAGTTTGTAGGTACTTCTGCTGAGAAAATCAGAGCTCCTGGTTTCTAAATGAGAGTGGAACTTGTCTAGAAATCTCTTTCTAAATCTGTAGTTTGGTCTCAACTGTTGTGAAAGGAGGGGGCATGGATCAGGCCTGAGGAGAAGCAAATCAAAATGTTTTAAGTTCTGTTCCATGGCAGTTCAGTTTGTCTGGGGTGTCATTGTCCCCTTCCCTCACGTAATGGCCATAAGGATTCTTACTCTGAGTCTTGGGTTAGATGAGGCTCATGAGGCACAATGATAATATTGCTCTCCAAATATTTGATGGGGTTAATCTGCTCCTGGACCTGCAGAGAAGCTCAGACCTCTTACTGGTGTGAAATACTCGTGACTCCTGGTGATATTTTGCACAATTTCTTGTCTCCCCTCAGGTGCAGGGGTGAAGGGTGCACACACCCCTGATGGTAGGAAATCACCCCCTTGTTTCTGTGACTCATTTTGACTGAATCAGAATGGCCAAGGAGGGGGACTTTATAGAGGAAGGCTGAGAATTTGTGAAAAGTTGTGATTTCTTCTAGTCACACCCACATCTCCCATCAGCTTACTGGGGACAATATGGACTGTTGTGTGGTGGTCAGAGTTTCCCTTTTGTTGGCTGTCTTGAAGTGCCTCCCTTCTTCCTAAACAGCAGCCTGAAAACATGGATTTTTCAGAACACTTCTGAAATCTCTTTTAGGAGTATCTTTTTTTTTGACAAGAATTTATTCTTTTGGGTAAATAAAAGCTGATACTGCAGTTTATGAAGGAGACCTGGATTTGCTCAAGGGACGCGATGTTCCCTGGAAAGGAAGTGTTACGCAGAGCCATGATTCACATTAATCACGTGGCTGCGGTGGCAGGATGGAAAAAACTTTGAGTTTGGACTGGGCAAGGACAAGGACACACTGTTCTGTGCTAAGAGCATCTTGAAACAGTGAACTTCGCGGGAGGGCAATATTCCAGGGAAGTTGCCTTTCTCTGAGCTGTACTACCTGCTCTGAGCGAGCAGGAGGGCGAATGCTATGGCAAGGTTGAAGTTACTTGTTTTGTATCTTATGACAAATTCAAGGATTTTTTTGTGTTCTTCTGAACCATCTCTTGCCAAGGATTCACTGTGCGAGGCCTTCAGATCTGTGCTCTTGAATAGAGGGGCTTGTTCTGTGTCCACAGATAGCCCTGGCTGTGAGATCAGTAGTGCTCAAGTGTAGTGGAGCCCTCAGCCTTCTCTGCTGGGCCAGGGAGAAAGAGCTTTGCAAAGGGGGTAATAGAGCACAAGGCAGTGTTCCTGAAAGGACAGTCTTTAAAGTTTCATATTGTTACTTACCAAGGTGCAGCCTTAGAATGTGGTTTCCCTTTTAAAGCCTCATAACAAGAAAATTAGTTACCAGCTGCAAGCCCCAAGGAATGGAGAAGGCATTTTCAGAGAAGATGCTGTTTAAGTCTCTCATGCGTGTGCTTCTCTAGGGTTTGTTTTAACTATTTTACTTACTTTTGCAGAAATTACTCAAGGTCCAACAAGAAATCTGCCCAAAAGTACAGCCTCATGCAGTGGGTGAGCAAGAACTTGGCCAAACACCACCATTTCCAGAGCATCCCTGACCACTTACAGCGTCGCCCCGTGATAGCCTGGTCTAATGTCTGATTTTGCTGCCGAGGGACTGTGCTGGTTCTTGCTCTTCATTTAGAGTTGTTCTTAAGTTCTGGTTTTGAGTGGTTTGTATCTTCACGAGTTGTTTTATGATCTGTTTTTAATAAGGCCAATGGAAATTTCTGTGTTTTAGAAACATTTGGAACTGGTTTTGAAGCCTGATTTCAATGTGATCTGTTTCTGTAGAGGTAACTTCTGTGTTTTGCATCATGCTTTGTTATCCTTTGAACTGAAAACAACCTCCTCACAGAGCAGGTAACAGAAGCAGTTGGTGTTCAAGAGGCAAGATTGTGTGTTGGATGTGAGGATGTAACGTTTCAATGATGGAATCTGGAAAATGTGCTTTGAATTGGAAAAACTTTTCTTTAAAGCTTGGACCTAAACTTTGGTATTAAATCTCCTACAGTGGTTGGGGCTCCCTTTGAATAACGTGAAGGCTTCAAATTGTGAAAATGGCTCGTGCCTGCTGTCTCCCTCCGTTTGGCAAAGACCGAGTTGTGTTTGTTCACTGTAAACTCAGGAGCACCAGTTGATTTACCTCGTTTGGGTATGTCTTGTCTTGTCCTGTTCTTCTTTCTGTCCCTGAAAAGTTTGCTGTCTCTTTTGATTGTTTTTGCTTGTGGTTTTGTTTGTAACTGTCCTTGTCAAAACATTTCATGAGATTTGCACTTCTGTTTATAAACATTTTTGCACCTGTTAGATGGAATTTTCTTTTCTGTTGTGTTATTGTGAGGCTTTCTCTCCTCTCCCTTTCTCTTGCCTGCTTTCTGGAGTACCTGGAAGAATGTGACTTGCTGTTTATTTAAGCTACACAGTCCGACAGCAACTACTGCCTCCATCTTCTTCCCTAACAGGGTGTAGAAACTCCAAATTATTTATATATATTATTTGTATAAATTATTTATACATACTCTTTATATAAAATGCTCTTTCCGGGTGCGGCAGGGCCTGCACAGGCCTTATGAACTCTGTAGGCATTTGTAGGTGGAGCAAATGAGGCTTATTCATGGAGGAAATGGTACTATATTTTTATTATAGTAATTAGAATTTTTGGTGACACTGTGATTTTAAAGAAATAAAATTTAGGTACAGTACTAAAGCTTTTCAATGTTTTGGATCATATATTTTTTTATTATTTTGCTCTACCGTAGCGCCTTCCAAATCCAGAGCAGGACAGGAGCAAGTAGCTTTAAAAAAGTGGGCAAGGTTTGTCACTGTCCTAGATGTGCAGTGACTGAGGCGCAGGGAATCGAAGTAATTTGTCCAAAGGATAAGCAGTGGAGCTTGGAACAGAGCCTGGTGCTGCCTGACTGCACTAACTCCTAGATAATAACCGCCTCCGTTAACGAACTAATCCATAGACAGCGGGGAATGTCTCTTTTTTCTGATGGGTTGTACGGGCCTGGGCGGTGCATGCCCAGCGTTAGGGCTTTGTGTCAATAATTGATCTTCTCCAGTTAATAATGTGTTCTTAATGCCAGTGTAGCCTCTCAGGTGACTTGTTCCACTATAAATTTTGCTCACAGAGCACCTTGCTTAGAGAGAGAACGTAACATCCCCTGGTGTGGTGCTGTTGGCTTTTAAACCAGTGACTCCTATATATTAAATTCAAAATACTTCTCTGAAAAATGACCAATTCACTTGTGGTCCTGAGGGCAGTTCTGTGTGCTGTCCACGTTGTTGTTTGTAAAGTCCACCTTCTCCCAGCACATATAACAAACGGAGGAAGATGATTTGCTTCAAATCTCGTTGTTTCAGGCATTTTGAGAAGGCAAGAGGCACAGCGGGAGTCTGACTGCAGAGCCTGTGCCCCCCCTCCCCTTCCAAAAGCGGACGAGCTTGCCTGCTGGAGGGTTTATCTGATATTAAACCACTAACAGAGTGGCTCTTTGAAGGCCCAGAAATAATGCGGGCCCGGCGGCAGCTGTTGCAGTCACACACTGCTGGGATAGCAAAGCTCTGGCTCAACCTGTGATCGATGGTCGCTGCTGCCGAAGGTCACTCGCCCTTGTTCTTGTGGGGGACTTCAACTTCCCAGACATCTGCTGGAAATATAACACAGCAGAGAGGGAACAGTCCCAGAGGTTCCTAGAGTGTGTGGAAGACAACTTCCTAACACAGCTGGTGAGCGAGCCAACCAGGGAAAGCGCCCTACTGGTCCTGCTGCTTGTTAACAGAGAAGATCTTGTAGGCGATGTAAAAGTTCAAGGTCGTCTTGGGCAGAGCGATCACGAGATCATAGAGTTTTCAATTCTTGCAGAAGGAAGACAAGGAGCGAGCAGAACTGCCACCTCGGACTTCCAAAAGGCAGATTTTGGCCTGCTTAGGAACATGGTTGAGAGTGTCCCCTGGGAGACAGTCTTGAAGGGCAAAGGTGCCCAGGAAGGCTGGTCATACTTCAAGGAGAAATTCTCAAAAGTGCAGGAGAAGGCCATCCCCAGGTCCCAAAAAATGAGCAAACGGGGAAGAAGACCGGTCTGGCTAAATAGAGGGCTTTGGCTGGACCTCAGGGAGAAAAAGAAAGTCTACAATCTCTGGAAAAAGGGGTTGGTTAGTCAAGAGCAATAGGATGTTATTTGTGTTAGCCTTCTCTTAAAGCGGGTGTTCTGATGCCAGTTCAGCCATGCTGAGAAAATGAAATTATTCTGAAGAGGCAGCACCTTCCCGTGGCAGCGGGATGATGGTGTCTGTACGTGTGCTGTGTCTCTGACCGCTTTCCCTGGGCCCAGGGACCTCAGGCAAACGCGGGTGCCTCCTCCCCGAACGTGTGTTTTATCCTCTTTGTGAATGTAAATCTCTCATGTGAATGAACCCTGCCATGGAGCAGCTCTGCACTTTGTAAAGGCTTTAGGCTTCTGGGCAGCCTTATTGCTGAAGATTTCATTCTTTGACATTGCGACCGTGATTCATATACGCTGAGCGGTAGAGATACTGCCAGGGGAGGGAGAGATTGTGTATTAAGCCTTTGTTGAAGGACATTCTGTGTGTTTGCTGCTCGAGTGTAGCCAAGGGCTCCATTTCTGATTTTTATAGAATCCAGCAACATCAGATAAGACTGGAAGAGACAGTTTTGTGCAGGCCCTGCGTGAGCTCTGTGATGAAATGCCTTCCAATTAAAAATTTAATAACGTTTGTCAGTGTATTGCACTCTAACAACAGCAGCTAGAAAACAATGAGACTGAAATTAAACTGCTGCATGGCTTTTTCTGCCCTCCTCTCAAAACCGACTCTTCCCTACTTTTGTCCTGAAGGTAATTCTAATTGGGAGGAAGAAATTATGTCTTGAAACAGTAGTGGAAGCTGATAATATTCTCCCTTGGATTTGAGAGGTTGTCTAGTGCTATGCTGGTCGCATCCTCCGCAAAAACAGGTCTGGGTGGCATAAATAGGTTATATTTAGCAGTTGGTGGCACTAAGTGCGGGGGTGTTTTTTGTCCGTTAAAAAGGACAGCGATGTGTTGGGAAGTGTCAAATGGTGTCGTGGGGCTGTGTCATTATTGCCACTCGGTGACTCCGCATCCAGCGTGTTCAGATCGCACGGCGAAAGATGGCTTTTCTGGCTGCCAACTTTGCTGACTCCATCTGGGATCTAAAATTCAAGCTGTGTCTTTCCTGGCTCTGTCGCTAATAATAAAGATTCTTCATTTGGAACTTAGTTAAACAAAATTGATGCTGCTGCATGAGCTGAAAGAGAATCCAGCTCGCTTTCCTCGAGACGTGTGGGCTAAAGTGCTAACAAGTAGGAACATAACCATTTTAAGCTATAAGGTCATCAGATGATTTAATAGACTGCAGATTTGTGGAGGAAACAGAAGATATTTTAGCATAACAAGTGTGTTGATCATACAGCTTTTTAACAAATGCTAGAAAGCTGATTGAATTTGGTCAGCAAGGCTTCTGCTTCCAGTCTAGCCAGTAATAGCTCATTACATGTCGTTAGGAAGCTTTTCTGCAAAGCTGGGGAAATTACATTTGGTACAACATATGGTATAATCTTCAACTCTCTCCTTGGGAAGTGCAGTCTGACTACTCAGTCAATGAATTGCCATATTTTTATCAGCAAAATGGATGTGCAGCTGTGACATACGCTTTTGAGTGATGTAACCTTTAATGTCTTTGGCAAATACTGGCATTAGCAGTCTGTTCCTCTCCATTTACATCTCCTCCAGAAAGTCATTACCAGCTGAGATTATACTAACACTTTTCTGGCGTGTAGGTGTTTCCTCCTCTGATGCTATTGAACTGTCAGGGACTAAAACGCCTCATGTTCTCATTTTCCTCCGAGGAGGCAGAGAAGGAGCTGGTGTTGCTGCTGTTGTGGGGAGGGAGGTGGTGAGAGCGGATGGCGCCGTGTGTTGTCAATTGGAAGGACACGCTGTGCGGGATTGTTTGCTCCACACCACCTCCTGCGGCTCCCTTTTACTAAACTCGTGGGGGAGGAATATATTGGCTAAATTGTACTTGTAGGCATAATATTACAGTGCTTGAAAGGCTGAAGGCGAGCGGTGCTTAACTTTAAACATGCACTGCGTATATTGGCAAAGGGTTCTGTTTTCAGCTTGGTGCTCCGTATCGCGCCGATCGTCTCTGCTCAGTTGAGGTTTGGAAATGAAGGGGATTAATCCTCGGGGGCTGCACGGCGTCAGCAGAGCCGGCTGCTTTGCTTTTGAGATCAATGGGGAATGGGTTCTTGCAGGGCTCTCTGGGATCCCTGTCACACCAGCCCCCTCCCACTTACTGCTTTTTAGTATTCATTGAATCCTCCCTTTTCCCTGCTCCTGCTTCCAACAACCCCTTAGAACCAGCAGTCAGGCAGAAACACATGGGGAAATGTGGGTAGCCTTTATGGTGCGTTCGTCTGTGGCCCAACATGACTTTCCTCAGCACTCTCTTGGTTGTTTTTTCTTGATCTCTTCCCTTTATTGACAGTAAAACACCTCGGGAGTATCTTTTGGCAGCTGTTGCCAAGAATAATGTATCTCTTCTAAAGGTGGGCTTAGGCTTGAAGTCACACAGCCCCAGAGCATTAATGGGTTCTGGCTCTCATGGGTTACAGTGGAAGCTAATGCTGAAAGAGCAGTTAAAGTTTTGATGTTATGACCCACAGAAAATTAGGATCTTAAGTAACTTTATTCTCTTATAATGGGAAACGCCTTTTCCTAAAGTGTGGGCTTATTACATCACTGCAATTCCCAGTTGCTGAAAACATTTCCTTTAAGAGAATCACTTGAATCGGGTACCCTGTAGTCCCTCTCTGATGGGTTGAGTTGCTGCCAGCCTACATTTGTTTCCTCTCACTAATAGCATTATTACTTTACTTTTAAAGCCTGCTGTTATTGAACATAATGATAACCCTTTTACCTCCTGCCACATTATGGTGTGAATACTTAACTCTGTGCAATCACTGATGCTTTACATTTTAATTCTTTTCTACCAAACAAAGAGTGAGCACGTCTCTGTTAGGAAAGAAAGAGTTTAAACCTGTCATTGGGAACAAGAGTTACTGTAAAAAAGGGGGATGTGGCCTGAATTCCCAGGGACGACTGTCTTTAAAAACAGACACACAACTCCTCCTCCCCCCTGCCCCCTCCAAACCTGACAAATTACTGGGCTGAATTTCCTCCCGAGCAGCCTTCTGAGGGCTGCTTGCTTGGCTGTCTGCTCCAGGATTAGGAGAGAGCATCTCCCTTATCGTTTTGCACATGCTGTACCATCTGTCCTAAATCTCCCTTTATAGGGGTACGGATTCCAAATGCCATTTCTTTCTTAGGAGATAACAGGCATGTCTGAAGAATCTCTCTAGGTATGGCCGTGGTGCTATTTATGTCACAATGTGCTTTTTTTCCCCCCTCGCCCCGCAACCAGAGCGAACTCTGAACCTTCCTGGTTTTCTGCTCCCAGACATTGAGAAAACATTTTATGCTGCAGTCCCTGGGAAACAGAGAAAATCTCCCCGTTCTATTGTGTGTGTTCTGCTCGAAGCAGACATAGGTGAAATATTACTAAATTCAGACATTACAAGGACACGAGAGATGCCTTTAATCTTTTATTGTACCTTATAAAATGTTTATTGCTCTGTCTGTATCAGAGGTGCTGACCTCTCCCTCTTGGTGATGGAGGAGTATGTTCTGGCAGAGGATCCACTGAAGAGACCTTTGGGGTTGGCCTGTCTTCTGCAACCGGCACCAGGGAAGTCCTTGCTCATTCACTGACACTTTTACGAGCAGAGTTCCTTGTGCCTTTCTCCCAGATCACCTATTTTGGAAAGGCTGGTGACAGTGGAAGAGGAGAGATGGCTGAACTGGGTTACTGCCAGCCTGTTTCTTTGCAGGGACTTTTAAACCAGGCTCGTTTGGGTGCAGGTTTGTTGTAACGAGATTCCAACCCTACTCAGGCCCAACCTGTCTTGGTGTTTGATGGAACAAGTAGGATCTTGCCTCATCCCCTAGTGCATATGGAGTGGTTTTGTGGAGTAATTAAATAAATACAGATACCCCATGGCACACACAGAGAAAAGAGTAAATCTTTTCTGTGTGATGGACTTGCATCTACCAGCTTCCAGAGCACCAGCAATCCCAGGGATCCTGTCAGCTTACAAACATCAAGCACTTAATAAGAGAGAGGAGGAGAATCCCAACCCCTTTTCCACTCCTCATCACCCTTTTTCTGGAGGACTACCTGCAGCAGATACCTGGCATTACAACGTCACAAAAAATAGTGCAGATGGGACGTGTAAGGAGAACCAGACCTTCCCACAGGAACCCCACTAAAAGAAGCAATTTAAGAACTTAAGCCCTCAGAAAAAGGTCATTTAGGCAAGAGCCTTTCACAATAAATAGCTATTGCCTTGGATGACCTTGCATAGCAACCGGTATCATGAGTTTTTTTTAACTTTTTTTTTTTTTTTTACTTTTTTTGCTGACTGGCTACATTTTTTATGGACCTTTTATCACACTGGTGGTGGACACAGGCCCAGCTGAAAATACTGTGAAGAAAGTGGTTGAAATTATCCTGGAAGCTAAATAACGGCTCCTGGTGTCCCCTCCTGTGGGTCTGTCTGTGCCTCAGTGTTGGGCAGGCCCCCGTTATCTGAGGTGAAGAGCACCGGTGCGAGACAGGAGAGACAGCAACGGTGGAGACACGTGCTGCAGCCTAAGCGGAGAACAACCAGGGAAGTTCTCCCAGTGGGAATGGAGACTGGGGTATGCCTTTTTTTCTTTGCTTTTTTTTTTTTGTTTTGTTTTAAAAACCCACCTGCAAGACGTGTTACACAACACACATCAATGGAACAAAGCAAGCTGGGAGCACACAGCAGCCCAAATCTGGTTGCTCATGGTCTCTGGGATGAGCTTTACTCCTTCCTTGCTGGGAAGAGGAGTGACAGTGACTGATGCCTGAGCTCACCTTAATACTGTCAAGATGGAGCGACAGTGAGACAAAATAAAGATACAACAAAAGCCTTGCACATTTCCAAAGACAGGAAAGTCGTTCCAGAAGACGGAGTGTGAGGGTGGAGAGGAGTGTGTGAGAAGCTGCTCCAGCCCAGGTGATTCACGAGTCCAGCAGAGGATCACCGGCAGCAGCCGTCTCACTGGTGCTTTTCCATCTTAATTGTTTGGGTTTCAGGGTGGTTTTCTTTGTTATTTTTTTTGCAGGATTTTTCTTTCTGGCCAGATGTTTTGCAGAACACGGGCGAGGAGGCGCGAATGCCAGCAAGTGACAATCACCAGCTCTCTTTCCAAATCGCTCCAACGATATTTCACCTCCCAAGTCATCAAGGCTCAGAGGCAGAAAGTGAGAGTGAGGAATGGAGTCCATCCATCAGATGGCAGGCTGTCACGCTTCAATGATGTTCACTGAGGGCTTGTTTTTGGGGAACTAGAAGAGAAAAGGAGATAAAGGGAGAAAGAACAGATAGGAATTGCTAGAGAGGAAAAAAACCACATGAGACGAGTGCAGCATGTAGGTCAGTTTTTGTTTTTGTAAAAATTTTTGTTCCCTTTCCCTCAGGATAATGAAAAAGGCCGGACTTGAGGCTTTTTAGGCTTGTGTGGTTCATCACTATCTGCTTCCAAATGAGCCTGAATTAGGGGACTATTTTGAATATTAAGTAAATGTGGAGTGGTGGGGGTGTGCCAGAGGGCACGTTGTGAATGGAAACACAAGAAAGTTAAATTAGTTGAAATAAGTTGGTATAAATTATAGGCTTGAGTCTGTTGATGTTATGAATATGGCCTACCTTTAACATCATGGGTATTACCAGCCAAGCAAGAATAATATCCCCTTTACCACATGCCACTGAAGGGCTGCTGGGGGGTAAGGGCCCAGCAGCTCAGGGACTGCAGCGTTGCTCAGTGCATTTTTCTTCCAGAGATGTTTGGATATTTCAGAGTTATGGATTAAAATCTGTTTTATTGAGGGAGGTGCCAGCTAATCCAGAGGTGGGAGTGAAGTGCCACTGCCCTGATGCATCTGGGAGGCTCAGACCACTAACCAAGCTGTGGTGCCAGCGTGTGTGGGTGTGAAGGGGTGTTCCCTCTCTGCATCACAGCTGGCGGGAGGAGGCTGGGGTGAGGATGTTTAACAGAGGCTGCTTTTCTGGGGGTAATTTCGCTGAAGCCTGGCTGGAAGTTGGTTGTCTGCCCCGTCCCCCCCGGGTGCCGGCAGCGTCTCACCTTGCTGCGCAGGAGCCCTCCGCTCTGGTGCTCGGGAGTGCTGTTCTCCGAGGCGCTCTTGGCTTTCTCCTTGCTGTTGTTTGGCTCGTTATCTTTGATGATATCGTACTGTCTGCAAAACAGGGCGATCACCCCTAACAGGAAAAAGCATTAGTGATCACACAAATGAGCTCAGCCCCGGGAGCCCGCAGAGATCAGAGATCCCTCGCTTGCCAGCCGGCTTCGTGCCTCCTGCTAGGGATCTCGGCAGCGTTCACAATTCCTCCTAAGGATCATTTGCTAACACAGCTAGTCAGCCCTCCAGCTCTTCTCAATGCCTAATTCCATGCTAAGCTAGTTAGACAGTAGAACAGAAGATTAATTATATTCCAACTTCCCTATCATTAAATGGGACAAGTGTTTCAAGCCCTAGGTTTGGATAGCGATCAACGCTCGCAGTGCGGTTAAATGGGATCTTTGCTTTGCAAACACAGGAGCTCCTGGAATTTCTGGTTGGTGAGAAGGTGTCCTCTGATCTCTCTCCTCTGGGGTGGGGAGAAGGAGCTGGAGCTGGCAGATGAGAGGCAGGTACAGTACCTGCCTGTGATATAAGCCAGGGCCTTTTGAGCAGCAGGACAACATCTGCAAATATGCAACAGTGACGGCAGCAGAAGCTGCCAGTGGAAATTTCCTCCCACACACACAGGCACATGAAGAGAAAAGCAGGGGCAGCCATGACACGTAAGAAGACTGCAAATGTCTTTCTCGGAACCTTTTATGTGACATTTTGACCAAATAACTTCTCTGCCAGCAGATTCCAAACCCGGAGGTGAAGTAGACCCAGGCAGATGCTGCTTCTCCCTTACTGAGAAATATTTCAGCTCCCCTGATAGCAAAACATGTGTAAAGCTTTCACCAGATCATCACAAACTGCTTTATATAGCGAGGTGTTGTTATGGCAGCTGCCCCAGGTGTTACTGATAAACACGGTGGTCTAAATTCTTTTTTGTGCACATGAACAAACGGCTGATCCTGGGAGAAAAGGCAAACATCTGCCACCTTCAGTGATTTCTGATGGAAAAACTGAGGCAGGCAGAAGCAAAGTGCTGTGAACAGTACCGGGAAGAGGAACAGCATGAGAGCTTGGGTCTCGTCTCAGTTCAGAGCCATGGGCACAGACTGGATCCTGTTGGCATTCACTAAAACATCATCGTACATTCAGGTTATGGCCAGGGCAGGTTAAGGGCTGGTAAGAGGGTTTTTTTATTGAGACTTTACAAAGAACCCACGAGATGTAAAGAGATTTTCCCCTCACCCACTTTCCTTTTCAAATGTAAGACATCTGTCTAGAAGGGAAATGGTGGTATTAGCAAATTCTTTGTTCCGACACTGATGTGAGTTTTAGATTATAATACAGTGGGAGATGAATCAGTTGTTCAGCCACTGTGTGTAATTATTCATGATTGTTTTTACTGGCAGGGCATTTAAATTTGAATGTGCACAACAAAATTTTGGCGTAAATGCTGAAAAAATCACGGATTTGAGGTTTTGGAAGCCTTTTAATTTAGATTAGGTTTCCATTTGGCTATCATCTTTAGCAATAACTGCTGTCCAGTCTCTGGAAATGCAAATCAGGTATGGTAAACTCAGGACTTTCCAGGGCGAAAAGGTATTATATGTGGATCTGATTCTGTGTCACCTGGGTTCCCTTGTAAGAAACCTTGCAGAACTGCACAGGACACAGTCAGTCCCTCCATCCTCCTCCTCTGTGACAGATTTCAGATCAGTGGCTGGTTTCCTCTTTGCATCTCTCCCTGGAGGTATCTCATCGCAGCAGAATCTAGTCTAAATGGGCCAAATCCTCTGTCGGAGTCAACTGGTGAAATGACAAGGTGTCAAAGTCATCAGCGGCTCAGTGCTGCTGTGGTGCCTTTCTCTTCTGAGTGAGAAAAATTCTCTGTGTGACTGTTTACACCCTCTGAGTGTGGAGAAGTGGTTTGCCTGGGACGAAGGGACTAAATACCGAGTGGCAAAGGTTGTCTTTTATGGATCAGAGATTTACCATCGTGCTAATTTCCCTTCCTGCCCATTTCCCTGGGTCACTTGAACCGTCCCCCCCCTTGGGCGACGTGCTCTGTGACTCGCAGGGAGCAAATGTTGTTTCATTAATGTTTGACGCTGCAGCAGGAGCAGCAGCAGACTGGCAGCCAGGGGAGGCTGGGGTTCTAAATAGAAAACAAACATGTGCAAACTTTATTTCCCATTAACTCATGCATGTAATTTCCAAACTGAACAAGCTGAAGGGCCGGCTGCAACCTCTTCAGACGTGCTAAGCTGATGGAGCAGGAGTCGGAGGCGTTTTCCTCTCCTTGTTTGCCAGCTTAAAACACACGAGTGAGGTCTGTGCTAGCTACAGTTTGCTGTATTGAAAAGTGGTCCCAAGCTCCTGCCAGAAAACCTGCAGTTCTCTTTCGAAATTATATGTATATATTTGTCCATATTACAGAAAGTGACAGTGAGGGATCTTCATATTAAAGGAACACATTTATGATGCTCTGTTAGAGGCTGTGGTAATGTCTGTGCCTAGTTATGCCCATCACATCCTACAGCAAAGTGGCCTGAGGGTGATTTTACTTCACCTTCCTCAGCACTGGGTGCTTTCAGCTGCAGCTGGGCATGTGATCTCGCTTATAAAATCATATACTACAGTAGCCGTCTTGGAACAGAGCCTCTGCTTGGATTAAAAGGATTAGTGGCTGCGGGATGGAAGGAGGACTCGGGTGGAATTTCAAAAGATTGCCAAAAGTTTGGCTCCAAAGTAACCTTTTGGATAGCAATTTTCAGCTAATGCTTCCTCCTGCCATGCTAAGCTCATGTAGACGTTTCCTTCCTTTCAGTTAATATGTTTTTGCTAATGTCCCTCCTCTTCCTATTAAATACTATTCTTTGTATTTTAATAATGGATGTTGAGAGGGTCTGGGTTTATTGGTGTTTTGAGGTTTGGGGTCATTTGTTCTTTCAATGCTTCCATTATTTTAATTGATTTTGAAGTGGGTTTTTGTGTATATATAATAGTAGGTGTTGAGAGCGACACTCTTAAATTCCTGTTTTGCATGAGAGTTGGAGTCATAAAATAGCCAGATAATTACAGTGACCTGTATCATTTGAAGGGCTCAAGGCATCCTGTTTGGTGGCTGAGGGCATTATCATCAGTGCCTTCTGGAAAAATTGAGATTACAGGATTAGCCACGGAGAATCAGGCAATTGGTTCATCAAGTCCCTCATCTGCTTCCTGCTGGACCACACTGGACCATTGATTTACCTGCTTTTGGCACTGCCCGACTTGTGATGCTGCAGAGGGAACCAAGATAGCCTTACAGCTGAATATACAGAGTTCTTAGGGGAGGAAGGGTTTCTTTTCAGATCTTACATGATTACAGAGGCAAACCAGGCGAGCCAGCAGGCCCTAGGGATATGACGTGCTTTTGACGGAAAGATTGAACTGACCTGCCCACATAAACAACACCACAACAATGATGAGAATTTCCCCCGCTCGCAGCTGTTGGTTTTGCTTCGCCATCTCCTTCATTGTCACCTCATCTGCACAAGGGGAAAGAGAGACAATGAAACCTCACCGCCTGGCTCAGCCTACACCAGACACCAGTTTAACCGGGCCCTTGACTCAAATCATCACTGTCAAAGCCAGCAGGGAGAGAGTCCTCACCCACCAGTCACCCCAGCACCATGAGCTGTGCTTTGAACTTGCAGAGCATCAGCTGCTCTGCAGCCACTGCCCCCCACAACCTGCAGGAGATGGGGAGAGGGAAGTGATTCTACCCCTCTACTCCACTCTGGTGAGGTCCCACCTGAAGTACTGTGTCCAGCTCTGGAGTCCTCAGCACAGGAAGGACATGGACCTGTTGGAGCAGGGCCAGAGGAGGCCACGGAGCTGCTGGGAGGGCTGGAGCCCCTCTGCTGTGAGGACAGGCTGAGAGAGTTGGGGGGTTCAGCCTGGAGAAGAGAAGGCTCCAGGGAGACCTTCAAGCCCCTTCCAGTCCCTCAAGGGGCTCCAGGAGAGATGGGGAGGGACTCTGGATCAGGGAGGGGGACCGTAGGACGAGGGGTAACAGTTTTAAACTGAAAGAGGGGAGATTTAGATGAGATCTCAGGAAAAAAATTATTTGCTGTGAGGGTGGTGAGAGCCTGGCCCAGGTTGCCCAGAGAAGCTGTGGCAGCCCCATCCCTGGAGGGGTTCAAGGCCAGGCTGGACGGGGCTTGGGGCAACCTGGTGTGGTGGGAGGTGTCCCTGCCCAGGGCAGGGGGTGGCACTGGATGGGCTTTAAGGTCCCTTCCAACCCAAACCATCCTGTGATTCTATGGGGCGAGAGAGGCGCTGTGAGATGGGATCAAAAGGCAGTGACCACAGAGGAGCTGCCATGGGGTTAAGTCTACATGTTTTCTGGCCCAGCGATGGCTCGCTCTGCTCAGTCTCTGGTCTCTGCTAGTGCCGTCTGCGCCTGTCACAAAGCCTTGCATGCTTCAGCAGTTCCTCTCCCAGCTCAGGAGCGTGGAGCCTGGCATGATATTTTTCAGTGGAGCCATGGGATTCAGAAATGAGTAGAGCCTTTTTGCAGGGCGTAATGCGCCTCCTTGGCTTCAAAGCGCTAAGAAGATTACAGTTCAGGCCTCCGGGGAGGGAAGCTGTGCTCCTCTTAGTGCTTTCAGATGAACAGCAATTCAGTATTTACAGACACCAAATCATTTTAGCAGGAAGAGTCAAGAACTCACAGCATCCTAGGAACCATGGCCAAAAGCCCCGCAACAGGCTGGGTCCTCAGCAGGGAGACAGTAACCCTTTATAGCCCCATACTCCCTACCCCTTTTTGTAGCAGAGATTCTTGCTGACAGAAAACGTTCAACAATCTATTTTGGCTTAAGAGGAACAAGTGAAGGAGCTGCTGGTGAGGAAGTGCCTGATTTCCTTGATGGAGATATTCAAAACCCAACTGGACGTGATCCTGGACAACTTGCTCTAGTTGACCCTGCTTGGGCAGGGGTTTGGACTAGGTGATTTCAAGAGGTCCCTTCCAACCTCAACTTTCTGTGATTTGGCAGAACTATTTGAAATATAAGAAAAGTGGCAGAGTCTGGGTATATTTCCCCCTGCTGTCCTGGCATCCAAGCAGAGGAGGCTCGGCAAATCCCTCTGAGTGCCCTGTGAGCACAGCAGTGTTGTGCCACCCAGGAGCCCACTTCCATGTGAGTTTGCAGGCTGCTCAGGAATTTCCCCTGGCATTCTCCACTTGCGAGGATGCAGGACACACTGCTCCTAGGCTGGAAACCTTCTCCTCCTCCTCACTTTTCCTGTTAAACCTCATCTGAAACGGGAGCAATGAAGAGCCAGCCTTTGGCAGCACCTCCCTGTCGCTTTGTGCACCCGTCAGCCTTGTCTGTGGGGTGCTCTCAGGGCATCCCGCTTGTCCACATGGGGCTGCGAGAGGGCACTCACCCCTCTGTGTGTCTGACCCAGCTATTCTCATGGCACAAGGACACTATTTTCCTCTCTGCAGAGCCCTACTCTGCCTGGGCGTCCCAGGGGCCACATAGGAACTCACCCACACTTGCCTTTATTTTTAGAGGCTAGTTTCTCAGCTTCCCTGGGGGTCTTGAAGAGGACTGGCTCACTGGCAGGGCTCTGGCCTTGAATGCTGATGGACTGGACATGCACAATGTACTCAGTGTCCTCCTCTAGGTCCCAGAGGGCACAGGAGCGGGTGGTGGTGTTCACCTCCTGGATGAAGCGCAGCATCCGCACGTCCTTCTTCTGGAAGCCGAGAGAGGAGAGCACAGAGTGGTGGAGAGGCCTCCCGTGTGCACTGCTGTCATCTAAGACCACTTCTTCCTGCCCTGTCCACCACGGACGTGGAGACTGTCGGACCCTTTCCTCTCTGCAGCTACCAATACATGAAGAGCTGCTGCAAAGAGGACGGGGAAAGCCAAGTCCCCTCCCAGACCACAAGGGACAGGACGAGAAGGAATGGGCTTAAACCACAGCAAGAGAATTTGGAAACTGAGGGGACCTGGGGTGAAGATGAACGTGATCAAAACCGGGTAACTGCAGGCACCGTACCTGTTGGGAAATCGCAAATCCAATGACAACTTCATCTTCCAGAACATCCCAAGTTACAACGGCTGAGTTGGCTTTCAGGTGTTTAACTGTGACATTTACTGGAGCTGACGGGCTGTCTGCAAGGAGGGAGAGCAGAGCCTTTACGGAGGCAAAGTCACGGCCGCGGGCAGAGACAGAGCACGGGGGGGAGCGGGGAAGCACCTTGCTCAAGGTTTGGGTATGTGGATCTTGGGACGGGACCTGGAAATTGCAGGAACTCCATGTCCCAATTACCAGTGAGGTTCTAGGAGATCTCTGCTGAGAGTATGAGTCGCGTTAGACACGTGTGAAGCATCTGACCCTTAGGAACAGTTCCTTTTGACACATAGCAGACCACTGAGGAGCTCATTCATCTCACCCTTCCCAGCCACGCACCACGGTTTCTCTGTTGTTTCCCGTTACGGTCTGACAGCGACAGCCGGGAGGAAATGCAAACTCTGCCTTGGAAGTATGAAAACTGAACGCTTTGATGAGTGCTCTGGAGGTTTGAAATTCAGGAGTAGTAAATGGGAGTGTTTCTTTTTGCTTTTCCCTGTTAGTTTGACAGTGAATTTTTTAGACACGTTTTGCTGTCTCTCAGATGGTCCAGCAACCATCCGCTTACAGCCACCGGGACAGAACACGCTACAACAGCACCGACGGACCATTGTAACGTGAAAAGGGCAGGCCCTGAAAGCAGTAGCCCAAGGCTCCCTGTTTATTCCCAATTTTCAGCTACAGGATGGATCTACGTAGCTTCCAGCCTTGCCAAGTCCAGCTCCGAGGTACCAGCTGGGACTGAGAGCCTCGTCCCAAGGGAGCTGCATGATGCAAAGCCCTTCTTGGCACCTCAGGGGGGAAGGTTTTACCTTCTAGGCTTGGCACAGTCATTCCAGTGCTCTGTGCCAAGGTTGGACTCCTGTTACCTCTCCCCTGGTCCAGCTTGTCCCCCAAATCCAAAGGCAATAATTGCTAACGAGACTGCCAGGACCCCAGGAGGTCAGTAGGGTGAGAAGGAGTCCTTTTGTTTTTTGACTCTCATCAAAGAATACTACTTTTATTGCTTTGTAACCATTGCACAGCACTGCCCTTCTGGGGCTGGGACTGAGGTCACCAGTAAAAGAAGGACGCACGTGTGCATGTCTCCAGTAACACTTGTTGGATTTATAGTCAGCCCCAGCCGCCTGAATGTGGCCGAAAATATTCGAGCTGTGGTGTCAGAGTCTCCTAATGACTGACTTCACTCCTGGTGAATGTTCCCCTGGGAATAGAGAAAATAACGGGAGCACAGAATTCCCCAGCTGAAGGTCAGAGCTGTTCCACTCTTAGCAGAGCGGTGACCTTATTCCTTTCTCTCCTCCTCAAACACCACCCAGAGCCTTCAGAGCTGCCCCTTCCAGCAGACCGAGACCCACGCCCACCAGTGAGACCCTTTGGAACGGGATGTCTGGACAAGCTGTTTGGGTCTGGACTGATTCTGATGAGTCCTTTAGTGAGCAAAAAGGTCACTGGAAGGCGCATGGTTAAATTCCCATCAATTTGGGACTTCAGAAGGAGGAGCAACAAGAAACTGTGACCTCCAGGGTTTCCTAGGGGAAGGTGTCCTTCCTCCCTGGAGCAGAGGATCAAGTCAGTATTGACCCAGAGCATTCTCATCTCTCAGGGACTGGCCTTCATGGAATGAGGACGTGGTCTCCAGCCAGCTCTTGGGGAACGGAAACGTTTATCACCCTCACCCTCCACTGCAGCAGGAGGCCAAGGACATGCCAAGCAGGGGGAGATGGATTGTCCCCCTCAGCCTGGACACTAGTCCCTTCTGGACTCAGCTCTTCCAGACGTGGGTCTGCAGCTCCTCACCTTCCCCCGTGACTGAACCCCTGTGCCAACAAGAGTAGGGTCTAATTTTAGGAAGGGGCAGTCAGCGGATGGGAATGTGGACAGGGAAGGTCTGTGAGTCACGCCTGACGAATTTGCTAGAACATACAGAGGACATGGCAGAGCCGAGAGATGGGAGACAAAACAGTCTCCAGCTGCAGCCAGGCACTTCGCCCTTCCCAAAGTACAGCTGTACAGTTAAATCCCGGCATGGTTGTCTTTCCTGGATATTTTTAGGAGCTAAATTTTTTTTTTTTTTTGCACAGCACTGCCCTTCTGGGGCTGGGACTGAGGTCACCAGTAAAAGAAGGACGCACGTGTGCATGTCTCCAGTAACACTTGTTGGATTTATAGTCAGCCCCAGCCGCCTGAATGTGGCCGAAAATATTCGAGCTGTGGTGTCAGAGTCTCCTAATGACTGACTTCACTCCTGGTGAATGTTCCCCTGGGAATAGAGAAAATAACGGGAGCACAGAATTCCCCAGCTGAAGGTCAGAGCTGTTCCACTCTTAGCAGAGCGGTGACCTTATTCCTTTCTCTCCTCCTCAAACACCACCCAGAGCCTTCAGAGCTGCCCCTTCCAGCAGACCGAGTCCCACGCCCACCAGTGAGACCCTTTGGAACGGGATGTCTGGACAAGCTGTTTGGGTCTGGACTGATTCTGATGAGTCCTTTAGTGAGCAAAAAGGTCACTGGAAGGCGCATGGTTAAATTCCCATCAATTTGGGACTTCAGAAGGAGGAGCAACAAGAAACTGTGACCTCCAGGGTTTCCTAGGGGAAGGTGTCCTTCCTCCCTGGAGCAGAGGATCAAGTCAGTATTGACCCAGAGCATTCTCATCTCTCAGGGACTGGCCTTCATGGAATGAGGACGTGGTCTCCAGCCAGCTCTTGGGGAACGGAAACGTTTATCACCCTCACCCTCCACTGCAGCAGGAGGCCAAGGACATGCCAAGCAGGGGGAGATGGATTGTCCCCCTCAGCCTGGACACTAGTCCCTTCTGGACTCAGCTCTTCCAGACGTGGGTCTGCAGCTCCTCACCTTCCCCCGTGACTGAACCCCTGTGCCAACAAGAGTAGGGTCTAATTTTAGGAAGGGGCAGTCAGCGGATGGGAATGTGGACAGGGAAGGTCTGTGAGTCACGCCTGACGAATTTGCTAGAACATACAGAGGACATGGCAGAGCCGAGAGATGGGAGACAAAACAGTCTCCAGCTGCAGCCAGGCACTTCGCCCTTCCCAAAGTACAGCTGTACAGTTAAATCCCGGCATGGTTGTCTTTCCTGGATATTTTTAGGAGCTAAATTTTTTTTTTTTTTAGGAGCTACCACTGATTTACCCAGCTTAGGTTGAGGAGGCCTTTGAAAAGAGATGAATTAACCCCATGAGAACAGAGAGCAGAGTCTCAGGGAAAAAGCTTCAGGCTGGGAAAAGGGAATGCACATCACACCCCGCTTTGTGCCTGGGTCCCCTTTGAAATCTGTGACCTTGAGGGAGGCAGAGCAGAAAAAAGCATCTGAGTTTCCTGATGACGTAAAACATGGGGGAGTTGGGAAGACCCAGCAGAGCTGGAGAAGAGGAAAAAATCGCTTGGGGAAAGGGAAAGAGAGGATGAGGGGCTGTAAGGCAGAAGGGAAGCACTTGGCAGGACTGCAACCCAGTGCTCAGAGCCTGCAAAGCAGGACTCTTAGTGGAGGGAAGGAAAAATCAGGGGTGTGGGTGGTCGAGAGCAGTCTAGAAAACCCCCTTGGTAGTAATACCTGGGAGAGGGATGGGGTAGTGGAAGTCAGCAGATAATGCAGTGAAATCTAGGGCAACAGATCTGAGCATGCCTTTCCTTTCACTACCACAGATTAGGAGTAGCTACACGTAAATCAGTGGTGTCAAACCAGTCCAAAAGCAGCATGAGAAGAGAATTGAGAACGGCGTTCAATAGAAACACAAAGCCAGGCAAATTAGTTTCCTGCTCCCAGAGCCGAGTGGATAATTTGGAACCAAAATTTCAATCCATGAGGATGCTTTTCTCCCCGTTCCTGGGAGATGCACAATGAGATCATGACTTTCTAAAACCTCATCACTGTTCCAAGCTGTTCCTCGCTGCTTTTGGCTCCCTGGGCCAGTTGCAGCTCTTTGTAGTGCCAGCCCGGCTGAGGTCAGATGGAGAAGATGCAATCCCTCTTTCCCAGCTGGCTGTAGGGGGTCGGCATCTCTAGCAGAGCCTTGAGGTGCCAAATCCAAGTGTTTGGTTCCTTCTAGAGTCATAAGCAACTCTTGGAAACTTTCCTTCTGTGCCTGCGGCAGCCAGGGAAGCTGCTGGTGATCTGGGAGCAGGCAGAGGGGGTGGGATGGCCCCAGGGGCAGCCCCTTCCCACAATTTCTCATGTGTGTTTACTCCAGAGCCGTTGAGACCAGCACATCCCCTGTCTGGTCTGTAAGGGATCCATATGGTCCACGATTTCTGGTTTAGCAGTGTAGCTCCGTGCCAGCGCAGAGGCTGCTGCGATGCCTGACGGAGCAAATCACACACTGCAAACCAGCAGAGGGGCTCTTTGGCCAAATTTGAATCTGAGCTGTGAGCTGGGATGAAAAGATGCTCCCGTTCTCGTGTCAGCAGAAATTGCAGCCCCCTCTTTAAGGAGAAGCCCTGATCAATTAAAAGGAAATCATGATTTTTAAACCTGAATAGCTGCTTCAAAACTGGACGTGCTTAACTGTGTCTTGTTTCCTTCCCACGGGGACCCTTCGTCAGGTGAGTCTCAGCCCCTCATCCCCCAGGGCTGTGTGTCCCAGCCCTACCCCCTCCGGCCCACCCTGAGCCCTTCTGGCAAGAGCAAGTTAGAACTGCCCCCACGCAGCAAGGAGGCATGAGCCATGAAGATTACCCTTAATCCCCTCTTAATGCTGAGAACTCCTTCTAGCCTCTCATTAAATACTTTGCTGATTATTAATGGACTTTTATTTGAGAGAGAGGAGGGGGGAAAAATGCACTTTACAGCTTTGGGCTGATTCCTGCCTGGCTTTTTCATTGTCCACACAGTGGCTGCTGGCACAGGGGAGAGAAAATCTCCTGCCTGCCCTTTATGTTGGCTTCACCATCAGGGCTGTTGTGTGGATGGGATGGGGAGGGAAAAGGAGAGGGAAGAAGGTTTGTCTCCATCCCACTGCTGCTACCACCTGCAAAAGGGGGGCTGCTGGTGGAGGGTGGTGGGGTGAGCAAAGGGGAT